TCGGAAAACACATATTTCCTATGGTCTTAGGAACTGAGACACTTATCCTCTATCCATCTTCAGGCGGGTCTACCCACATGCAGATACACCCACCTACAACATGAGGAACTGTATTAAAGGATCGCAGCATTAGGAACGTTGAGAACCACTGGTCTAGAGTTTAGCTCAAGAAAGATAGCCTGGATTTTTAAATTAGTTTTTCTACATTTTCATTGAGGTAAGAAACCTGTCATAAGAATGCCATGATTTACTTGGGTTAGTGTTCCTTTGAATGATATATATAAGGGTTGTCTAATTCTAAATGAAAAGAATATTGAGTTCAATTTCTCTTTTCAAACTGGATCATCAAACAGCTGCCTTATGTAATAGAAGGCTTCTGCTTTCAATAGATGCTGTATACATTTCTTTGATTTATCATTGTCCCAAAGGATTAAGCCCAGTGAAATTTGGTCACACTATTCTAATGAAGTAGAGTGATGAGAATACAAATATTATATAGCTTATAATAATTATAAAGCTATTTAAAAATCAGGTTTGTAACCATTTATAAATTAAGGTAAAATAATGTTGTTTTAATTTTGAGGCTCTTAGATGTGGAGCCATCCTTAAAATGTAATTAATTCTTGTGAGTACATATAGGATACAAAGAGAATGAATGAAATACAGAACATATAGAAATTCTATTACAAGATTTTATGAAATATTGCTTCTATTTATTTCCTTTTAAGATGATACCCCCTTAATAAGAGCTATATATTAAGTCAAATTTAAAAATGTTGACTTCATAAGGGAGAAATTATTTTGTAATCATAGAATGGTGATTCTAATAGGAAACACATTATAATAATTTACAATAAGGATTATTTTAAGCTTCAGTGTGTGGCAACATTAATATTTGTTTTTTTACTTTTTAGTGTGAAAATATATTACCATCTGCTTAACAGTTAATCTTATTTTGAAATATAAAGAACATACATTTTCAGAATTGTATTGTTTAATTTATAAATGTTACATATGAAATTTTCTATCATGAATTATCAGATTTGAAGCACAATGAATTATAACTTTATAATGATTATAAAACAAAGTGATGATTTAAAAAATCCTTTAAAATATATTGGTATATGTGTTTTCAGTATATTAGATGGTAAGAATGGAATGATGATAATGACGTGCTCATGTGTAAATAAGTCATTAAGTATCATTTATATGAGTGGTTTTAATGACTAATATTTAAATTGTACATTGAGAGATAAAATAATGATTGGAATATTTTTCCAATGTTCTAGGCAGTTCCTTACTTGCAAGTCTGTAGCTAGCGTGCTAATGCAGTATGCAGTCATTCCCCCTCCATCAAAGGCAAGCATATTATATGAATCTTCTTTTAGACCTTATAAAATTTCTACGTTCCCGCATATTGGAAAACCTTGGACATTCTTCAGGAAGAGAGTGGCATGCGTTCAGAAAATTAGGAAAAGCAGGTTTAGTTCCTGCTCTGGGATTGTGTGACTTTGTTTGATGTGTCACGTCATGTCTTAGTTTCATCTGTTAAATGAAAGCATTAATCTAACTGATTTTTAAGGTCTTTTTTTTTTTTTTAATTTAACATTTTATGATTTTTAAATTAATATTAGATTACTCATGCAATTCTGGGAGTACCTGAAAAGTATGTTTATAATGCTAAATATTCTACCACTTAAACAATGATTAAAAAGTAATTGAGAAGCTTCATTAATTCTCTGATGTTATTATGTCTAGCATATTGTGTGTTAAGTTTTATTTTATATCCCTTCCCACATTTATATAACATGGGAGTGTTGAGGGCACCCCTATTTTAGAAAACTGTATTTATAGGAATTTGAGGAGTAAGTAAAGCAGGAAAGCTTCTCAGAATATTATTGGGAAATAGTTGTAGAATTTAAAAAGAAGGAGAAGAATTGTTTTCCCTTACTGACATCAACCTCCCAGGATAACATAGTGACTCTGAGAAGCAGTCTAACTTGCAGACTCTTAGGACAGTTTATATCTCCTAGTGAATATTAGCATTATGGAAGGAAGCAAAATAATGTATTAAATCGAGCATTAAGGAATACATTTTCACCATGTGTAAACTTGTGCTGGAGCCCTACCAGCCCAAGTTCTAAAGTGAGACTAAATTTGAATTCCATTTTCAGCACTTACTAGTTGTGTTACTTGTACAAGATACTTAATCTCTCTGCCTCAGTTTCTTTATCTGTAAATAGAAATAATAGTAGTGGCAATCTCACAGCCTAGTGAAGATAAAATTAATTCATTTTATATAAAGCACTTAGATGTGTTCTTAGCACACAGTGAGTGCTATAGAAGTGTTTTGTAGTAATTTTTATGCTCTTAGATTTCTTTTTAATTACTATATATGTTGGCTATCACATATATTTTCTTATTCAATTAATCATGTTTGTATATTGGGTTAGTGTATTCCTCATTGCATGCATAAATTGAAATCAAGTCTGTAATAATGAATATGTATGTAAAATACATAAAGCAATTTCAATCTTTGAATCGAATCCTTTTTTTTTTACACACATAGACTAAATACAAATCTGGGAGAAATATCCAGACAATTTAGGTTGAAATTCACTTTTAAGGAAAGTGCATTAAAAATCCAAATTATTGCCCTGGCCGGTTTGACTCAGTGGTTAGAGTGTTGGCCTGCAGACCAGAGAGTCCCAGGTTCGGATCCTGCTAAGGGCATGTACCTCGATTGCAGTTTTTCCCCTGGCCCATTGAGGTTGTGTGGGTGGCAGCCATTCGATGTGTCTCTCTCACATCAATGTTTCTCTCCCTCCCTCTCTTCCTCTTACTCTATCTGAAGATAAATGCAAAAATGTCCTCGGGTGAGGATAAAAAATAAAAATAAATAAATAAAATAAACCCCAAATTATCCATATGTTTAAAATGAAAATATTCCTCCACACTAGGTTGTTATTTATATTTACATGACATTTTAATCAGTCTTTGTCTTAAGACCCTTGATAATATTTTATATTTAAAGCCCTGCTTACATTTCAAAACCCTCTCTTAATCCTTTGCCCAAGTCTTGGTATATTCTCTTATTTGTGTTTCCATAGTGCTTTGTTATTCCCTTGCTTTCCAAATATCTTTGTTCTGCAATGATTTATTTCTCTCATTACATTTAGTTCCTTGAGGGCAGAAACTGTCTTAATCATTTTTTACACCCAAGACTTCTAGTGTAGACTTCTGATACATATGTAATGAGTGCTCCAAAAATGAATTTTGTTGGACTAAATTGTTGTCAATAGATAGATGTCCTTCACTGTGTACAATAGTTATTATATGATCTTTAGTTCTAACATTTGTAACAAAGCAGTCATGAACACAACGATGTAAAAAGTGTAGTCCTGTCTCTTCTCTGCAATATCCTATGTCTCAATAGACTAGAATATAAGATATAGAACTATATGCCAGACACTATATTGAGAGTTTTTCAATCTATTGTATTTAATTATCAAAAAAACCCTATAAACTTTTACATTTAAGAAATAAAGTCTTAGAGAGCTTAAGGAAATTGCACAAGATATACAGCTAGGAGTGTTGTTTAAAAGGTGGAATTTTAAGATAGGTCTTTTTTTTTTTTAATCCTCACCCGAGGATATTTTTCCATTTTTTGTGCAGATAGAGTGGGAGGGAGAGAGAGGAAGGGAGAGAGAGAGAGAAACATCGACGTGAAGGGACACATCGAGTGGCTGCCACCCGCACGACCAACCAGGCCGGGGATAAACTGCAACCGAAGTACGTGCCCTTAGTGGGAACCGAACCCGGGTCTCTCCGGACCGCAGGCCGACGCTCTAACCACTGAGCCAAACTGGCCAGGGCAAGATAGGTCTTTTTGATTGCAAAATTTTTCCTCTCAGTCACAGATATTATACGGCCACGCACATTTTAGAGAAAGTGAACTTCAAATCACATGATTTTGACTTTTAATTTATATGTTTTTATAATATATCAGGTCATTATTATTACATTATTACTTTTGCTATAGTATCATTATATTTAAATAAAGAGAAATGCAATAGAGTTTGATTTTATTATATCTAAAATGTTCTTTTGACCAAATCATGTATCTTATCATTTTATTGTCCATATTTATAATACTAATTTCCTCATTTATAATATTGGGAAACTATAACCCCAAATTATTCATTTTACTTATTTATTTATTTATTTTTTAATGTTTCATTACTGATTTAAGAGAGAGAGGAAAGGAGAGGGAGAGAGAGATAGAGACATCAAAGAGAGAGAACATAGACTGGCTGCCTCCTGCATGCCTTCCACTGGGGATCGGGCCCACAACCTGGGCATGTGCCCTGACCTCTTGTTGCATGGGTCCATGCTTAACCACTGAGCCACACCAGCTGGGTCAAAATCATCCATTCTAATCAGTAATATTTTATTTTTAATAACTTATAATTATTTTTTCTTTTTAGTTATAAAGTTAGAGGACTCCTAAATTAAGGGGACAGAGATGACTTTTAGAAGTAATATGCATAATTTATATAAAAATATATTTTGTCTACTTTTGCTAGTATGTGAAGAAATTGAAGATAAATAATGATGCAGTCGGTGTTTCACTGTTTTTGTACATAAAGCCTTTTTCTTTAACATTTTTTAGTTTCTCTTTGAGTTATCTGGGTACTTAATTAGGATTTCATTTGTGTAAAGAGCATTCACCTTTTTCTGATATTTGGGTATTTAATTGCTTTTATAGAAATTATTCTAATTTATATGTCTTAATATAGTCTAGTATATAGCATGCTCTTAAATTTTTTTCTCTTAAAATGTTTAGATTTTAATCAAATTGTAATAGACTTTTTCAGAATTTTCATTTCACTAACAAACTTTTAAAAACTCTTATTTGTTTTAAGAATGGAATTAATAATTTTTTTTTTTTTTTGTCTTTTCTGTCCTTTCTAACTTGCTTTCGTGGATATTCACACCAGGAGGACAAAGTGGTTAGAGTCTTTTTTCTGTCGAATATTTTTGTTTTCTTATTGTTGTTATTGCTAATTTTAATTTTATAGCTGTATTTAATTTATATATTTTTAAGTGTTTTGTTTCTGTTGTAGTGCATGATAATCACTATACATTAAGGTTTTTTAAAGCATGCCCTCTGATTTTACTGAAAAACATTTTATTATACTATAGATGAAAAATGGATTACTTTATTTTATTCTTAAAGAGGTTTGCCTCTTTAGAATTTAGTATTTTTAAGGAGAGCTTATAGCATTTTTCATTGTGTTAATTCTTTTAATCTTATAATGTTTTCCTAAAGTCATCATTGTACTGGTCAGAGTTTTTAAAAGAAGATTCTGAGTTAGTATAAAGATTCAATATTTGTAATAATGAATGAGTCACAATAACATTGAACATGGGTTTTTCTGAAGTATATATTTATGGTTGATTTTAAATATTTAATATATTTTTATTTTTCTTAACTTTTTCTAGAAATTGGTAAAATGTCTATCTTATATCCTCATTATAATATTAGTCATAATTATAATTTTAAAATACTTAGGTTTAGAAGATTCAACTCTAGCCTAGGTTTTAACATTCTGTCAATATTTGCCCTTAGAGGTCAGATTTGGATTTGGATTTGCTCTAGAGACTGGTGACTTCTTGCAAACATAGATAAAATCTTTTTATTCTGATTCTTTTTCATGGGTCAGACTAAACTTGAGGTCTTTTCAAATTTTATCAAATCAAATTGGCATAAAACCCAAAGAGGACATTGTTTAGCTATTTTCTGAACAGTGACTTCTTTTTTTGTCAGTTGGAGCCTTTTTCTTCTCAGTCTTTAGTTACTAGTTTGAGTGTAGGTGGTGGCAAATACTGATGTCGTTTTAGAATAAAGTCTCTGAGCAAAAGAAAAGATCTTCAGGGTTGCTTGGTTCTTTTTCTGTGTGTGTGTGTGTGTGTGTGTGTGTGTGTGTGTGTTTACCGATAGGAATTCTATCAAAATTGTGAGGCAGTTTTGAAGATTAGTTGCTGTAGACATGTCCCAGACTGAGTGAGCATCATCCTCAATCCAGGGCAGATGTTCTAGAGAAACTACCAGCCTTCTACGGCCAATCTTACTAGCTGACTCTCAATATTACAATTCAGGCAAATCAAAGCCTTTAGAATGTCTAGAGCTACTTTTGTGTCTGTGGTTTTCTAAATGAATTCTGACACGTATCCCAGATATTAGATACTTAATAATTCAACCATGATTTTCATTTACTGACAAGATTTAGTAATGTAACAGTCTATATTTTATACAATGGATTGACTAACAGATAAAATTATGCTAATTTTATGCGGATTTGGAACATTGCAAATAAAATTCAATAGGCTTTTTTATGATACTCTTTATGCTGTTCAATAGGACTTTCCACAATGATGAAGATGTTTTATATCTTCACCATCTAATACAGTAGACTCCAGGCACATCTAGCTGTTGAACACTTGAAATGTGGCCAGTGTGGAGAGGAATTGAATATTTGATTTAATTTAATTTAAATTTAAGTAGTCATCTGTGGCTAGTGGCAAATGAAACCAAAAGCCTGGATAACAATCATTCTTTCTGTGACTATTCAACCCCTAAGGCAATACCCTGTACTCCTGCTAGTAGTCTGATGTGCATACCAGCAGCAGAGATGAAAGCTGTACAGAACACAAGAAAGATACATTTGCCAATGCCAGTCTCTTATATAGCCAAGGAGGATAATGGACAAGGAATATCTTCTCGAAGTGCAGAATCAGGGAATATGAATGACAACAGTCAAAGGAGAGCCTCCTAAATAGTTGAATTGAGACTGACAGAATAACCGAGGAAATTAAGCCATTGTTCATGTAGGAATTACTAGGTGCTGTGGACTTTTGACCAGTATATATTTCTCATTCTTCCCTATTTCTGAAGGAGAATTTTTTTGTTGCAGTTTCCTGTTGTTTTTCCATAATTGTATGTTGGGTGTGTTAGGAACAGGTAATTTGTTTTTCATTGTACAGGTTCACAGTGATCCACACTCAACCATGATGGAAAGATTTGCTTGCTCTACCTCAGAGGTCCTGGATTCAGAACTAGATTTTATAACTAGATGAGACTATGGGATTATTTCCTTTTGGGAAGGGGTGAATATGTTACATGTAAAATATATGTACAGAATGTGTAGTAATTGAAAGAGGAGCCTGTTCCAGACCCTGCCTCTTTTAACAGACATTTTCAACTTCTTTCTTACAATCTTCAATAGAGGGACTTGAAAAATATAAAATTTTTTTTAGCTTTCCTTGCGATTGAGAATGGCTGTGTGACATAGTTTTGGCAAATGAGATGAAGGAAATTTATAAGGGCTTCTAGGAAGTTATGATAAAGAAAGATGTAGCTGGTACTACCTTTTTTTTTTTTTTTTTTTTAAGACTTTTTGTATTGATTTTTTAGAGAGAGGGGAAGGGAGAGGGAGAAGGAAAGAGACATTAGTGTGAGAATGAAACATCAATTGGCTGCCTCCTGCACGCACCCTACTAGGTATCAGTGCACGGGATGACGCCCAATTGACTGAGCCACACCGGCCCAGGCTAGAACCACCTTTTAATGCAAAAGTGATACTTTGAGCATCACAGATCATTTGTGAAGATAAGAGAAAAGCCAAGAGTATTTGAGTCATTAGTCATGACATTGTTGAGCTACTGATCCAACACCACTGAACACCTTTCTCCAATGTGAGAAAAATTCCCAACCCAATTTGTTTCTTTCATCAGTAGTCAGATTTTCTTTTACTTGTAGTAGAAAGCATTCTAGTGGATTTACAGTGTGCACCAGAGAAACCATGCAAACATCTGCAGTTGTTCTTCAGAAATACGGAAGTGGAGTGAAGATGTGCATGTTGATCATTGTCCTGATACTCACCCTTCTGCTTTTGCCTGTATATAATGTTTGAAGAATTTGGATCACTTAACACATCTGCTCATATATTACATATAAATTAATTCAGATTACAAACTGTAAATTAATGTGAATATATTGGGCTTTTTAGGATGTGTGGAACAAATAAGTAAACTAAACTTTCATGACAAATTATTTGCCGTAGGTCAGAACATACATATCTGTCGATGTTTTAGTAAATACTGACCTACTTATGTCTAGTGAGAGCATAGTGAAATCAGTTTTGGGAACAAAATAATGCTAATTTCATTGTCTAGGGACAATATTATCTGTTTATATAAAGACCATTTTAATGAGTATCTTAAATTATTCCTTTTTCTCTTTTTACAACAGTTATTAGTTCTCTTATCCAGTATCACTTGAGACAAAAATAAATAGAAATGTTACTCATTATTCACAGGTTATTAACCTTTATTGTAAAAAAAATAATGCTACTAATGGTAATGTTGTTGAAATAAAGGCTGTTGAAGGATGATAAATGTCCTTCAGTATTCTCACATTTCAGAATCATAAAGGGTTAGCTGTTGGGTTGCAGGTGCAGCTATGATATTCAGAGCAAGGTGTTTGTTTTCACTGTAATCTGATGCTTTTTTCTGATTTAAGTACATTATCCAGGCTTCCATACCCTGTGTTTATCTGCCTGTCCCTTGCTTTTCTCTTATGGAGTAGCAATTTAGCATATACTTAAAATAATTTTTTGAGTTATAATATCTTTGGTTGTTCCATTTCATCTAAGCAATAGCTGTGTGAACCTGCATTTTTGTAAATACTGTCTTAACCATAGTAGATTAATTTTTTTGCCTTTGCAATTTAATCGTACAATAACATGTTTATGACCTTAATAAAATTGTCCTAGAAATTAACTATAACAGCTCTGTCAGAGCCAACTCTTATAATAAAACACAAGTTTAATTATTACTACGATTACTACTAGTCTGCCTCTTTTATTGTAAGCCTGATAAAGACCAGAATTCTTATACTGTTTGCTAGGGAAAATATACAAGTGTCCAGAATTTTAAATTAGAAATATAGAAGTAGTTTGAACTATATTATTTAAACAACATATCAGTCAACAAGAATATAGAAAAAAATACATCTAGAAGGCAGGAAGAGTTCCGAGTAAATCAACAGACAGAGGTGTTGCTGAATATTTGTTCGAATATATTATGCATTCCAAGTTTAGTGAAAAATTTATCATTTTAAGGCCCATTTAAATATTATTTGTATATTTTGAGTAAATGTTGGCCCTCGTGGTCTCTCTCCAAGGCCTTGTCCTGACCAGGACAACAAAGAAAGAACTCTTTATGTGCCAGTTCTTTTTAGAACTGCTTGTGAGTCCTCATCCTTGGCAGAATAAACTTATTTCTTATTTTCATGATCCTTGTCTCCATTTTCTTCTTTCTTTACCAGTCTCTGCTCTCAATGCCCCCTTCACCCAAATGGCACTTTATTTTTAGAGAGAGAGGTTTTTAGAGAGAGAGGAAGGGAAAGGGAGAGAGAGAAACATTAACGTCAATTGGCTGCCTCCTGCATGCCCCCCACTGGGGATGGAGCCCACAACCTGGGCATATGACCTGACCAGGAATTGAACCAGTGACCTCTCGGTGCATGGGACTGTGCTCAACCAACTGAGCCACACTGGTTAGGGCCACTTTTGGTTTTATTAGTTCCTTCCCCTGATACCACCCTGTCCTCCAATTTCTATATATCTCTGTCATATAGGTCTTAATCACAGCCATGTTACAGTACATGTAAAATACGCTTCTTTTAAAGATTATTATGTATTTGCATAAATAATATAAGGACATTGTATAAAATTCCAAAGAAACATGACCATATATAGTGAAAACTTTCTTTCCCATCCCTAGTCCTTAGTCCCTCAGTATCCCAGTCTTTTTTTTTTTTTATCCTCACCCGAGGATATTTTTCCATTTTTTGTACAGATAGAGTGGGAGGGAGAGAGAGGAAGGGAGAGAGAGAGAGAAACATCGACGTGAAGGGACACATCGAGTGGCTGCCACCCGCACGACC